GGACTCACCACGTCGCCCAGAGTTACTGGTACCCCTTACTAAAGTGCAGCGACCCATCAGGAGGTTGAACCCCTACAGTCTGCCCAGGATGCATTTGACTGATGGATAAGGACTCACNTTACTGGTACCCCTTACTAAAGTGCAGCGACCCATCAGGAGGTTGAACCCCTACAGTCTGCCCAGGATGCATTTGACTGATGGATAAGGACTCACAACGTCGCCCAGAGTTAGCGGTACCCCTTAGAAAAGTGGCCAACTTTACTCACACCGACCCTGAAATTCTAGCAGACTGTCGGTCCAAACCCCTGACAAGAATGGCAGTGAGTCTGAGAAACTAGTCTGTAAAAGCCGCAGAGCTCAGCCATGGATATCCACTGGTGTGGCCTCCCGACCCTAGCCGTACCAATCGGCCTGAACTGAGAGCTTAGCAAGGCTACATTGTGTGTTGTTATGTTCACTACACACACATCCACAAAAGCAGCACGACCGTGCGGCTGTTCTTCCGTCAGACTTTCATCGACTCATTGGGAGGTTGAACCCTGACCATATTCCCAGGCCGCATTGGACTGACGTACAAGGTCTCACTGTGGCGGCCAGAGTTAGCGATCCCACTAAGACAAGTGGTCGACTTTGCTCACACCAACCCTGCAAATGTGTGTGTTGCCATGTTCGATATGCACAACACAGTAAAGAAAACATGACCGTGCCACACTGTTTCACCCGACTTGAGACTTATCTGGAGGCTGAACCCTGATTGTCTGTCAATCAGCTCCTGTGGGAATTGCCTGACGAAACTGATTTTAATCTTAGGAGCACGACTGACCTTGCGCCGACTCTCAGGAAGATCAATAATGTGCTGGGAAAAGGAGATCGGTTCGTCAGTGCTGCCTTCATTATGAGCACGTCTTCTTTGTATTTACGTTGATTACTGACGTACTTACCAGCACATGTAGAGAACCTAAGTCCAATATGGACCTAACACACCTGAGTGCGAGATGGTTGCCCATCGCACGGCTCTTCAACTGAAGTTGCCTTATTATTAAACGAATAAATAAATAAATAAGCCAGAGTGGCATCGCGCCCTTATTTGGGAGAGGCCGAAGTAAATGAAAGAAAACGCAAGAGCGCCCATAGGATCACGTATACACTACTATACAGACAATTTATTTTTTTAGAATTGAATTCAATTAATTTCGCCAGATTATGGAATACATACGTATATGACCTTTCCCGGAGAAGGATTGAGTTTGTGAGTGAAGTGAGACCCGTGACATTGTACTCAAGTCTATATAGAACTTAAGTCCAAAGATCCAATATTAGTTTTTGTACTCCACGTCGTAGAATCAAGTGCTTTCTCTTCGACCCTCTTCACGATAGCGCAGGACCTACCTGTATTTTGTACTGACTCTTGCGAGCCTCCAGGCACAAAGTCCAGCAATTCGGACATCTCCGCCAAATTGCTGGACACGAAGTGGTGGCCAAAAAACTGCTTCAAGGAAATGTTTTGCAATTTGGGTCGTGGACTTCTGGGCAATTAGAGTATGCAAGAGTGTGCTGATTAAATTGGGAGGGAAGGGTGCTAGACTAAAATTTGGCACAGCTGAGGTGGCGTGGGAAACGGTGTCTCTAGACTCTGTCGTTAAGTTTCTCTTTCGAGCTCGGACATACCTTCTTTAAGGCCTGTGACAGGGTACTGAAGCAAAAAGTCGAGATCCCGATGGGCAAGGCCTCCACTCCCACACTGGCCTCACTCCTCCGCGCTTTCAATGAACTCTCCTTCCTGATCTCTCTGGGCCGGGATGAGCAACTGGTAAAGGGTATCAGAATGGCGGATGATGTGTCCCTCCTCATTCGTTACAAGGAGCAGGATGCCCTATCACTCGTGAAGGCCGAAGAAATACTGGGCAAATTTCGGGAGTTCTACGACAGTAATTTGTCGTTGGAGCAAACAAATGATAGTGACTGTTGGGTTTTTCTCGTCTGTGTGATGAAGGTTGTGGAATGGCCGTGGGGAATCCAGCGTGTGGCTTTGCAAAAGAACCAGCGAAATTGCCTTGAGGAAGGGTTGCTCTTTCAAAATTTACAGCACTTTGACGACTCCTGCAGCAGACAGCAAAAAACGGTGGTAAATCATACACCACCATGAAGGGAACGGAGGCGGCCTTCCTGTTCACCTTGAAAATCGAACTCCGAAAGCCAGGATTTCCGGACAGCTTTTTTGACAATGGATTGACTACCTTTTCAGCAAAGTTTGCCAGGATCTGGGATTGGGTTCTGATGCTCACAGGTTGGGAGAAACAAGAGGGTAAGAGCAGAAAGGCTAGGCAACTGGCAATCTCAAACTTGCGCAATCAGAGAGGGGTGGGGATCAACGGGCATGACGGNGGATCAACGGGCATGACGGAAATGATGCCTCCAAGGGCAGGATGGAGGCAGGGTCTGGGAGAAACAAGAGGGTAAGAGCAGAAAGGCTAGGCAACGGGCAATCTCAACTTGCACAATCTCAACTTGTGCAGAGAAGGGTGGGGGTCAACGGGCATGACGGAAACGATGCCTCCAAGGGCAGGATGGGGGGCAGGGTCTTTTCGGGGGTGGCTACTAGCGTGCTGGGTAGGGGCATGGGGCGGTGGCCCCGAGTAGTACTAGGCTCTCTCTCTTTTCTCAAATGTTTGTTTTTGTTTTGTTATTTTTATCTTTCAAAGTTTCCGGAAAGCACAGGAAGGTCTGTAATCGACGGTCTGTTTATTGGACAAATGGCGGTCTAGGAAGTGGACGTCATTTTCATACCATATGGGTATTGTGACGACAGTCTGTCTGACGAACCTTGGTCTTTCTTTGGTCTTGAATATTGGCTGTTCTTCGCTGCTGGTCGACTTTCTTGTCCTATGCTGTCTTCCTATCCTTCTTTTTGGTAAAGATTGGCACTCCTTTTCTGTGCCTACCTCTAGGTTTCTCTGGTCCTTTGGTCTTCAATGGTTCGCTGGTCAGTACTTATTCTGAAACCTCGACGTACGCTTTCCCTCTTCCTAGCAACAAAGACCCCTGGCGATTCCGGCAGTGGCGGCCGGATAAAACACAGCGTAGGGCCGCTGCTCCAGGTCTTCACGAATAGCTTACGATGTTTAGGCAGTGCTTTATGTTCTATATCTTTCAGCCGAATGGTCGCGTTTCGGGAATATCTGGGATGAGTTCTATTCCTCTCCTTCCCTTCCTGTGTCTATCTTTCACCTCCTCCTCCTCCTCCTCCTTCTATCTGTGTGGACATCTCTTGACATTCGTGATTGCTTGAAAGGCTATGTGTCTTATCCATGTGCTGGGCAGGGGGAAGGTTCAGCCAGACCGTTTTGTGTACATGTGTGTTGCCATTTTTGCTACTCCACAAAACAGAAGTATGACTGTGCCACAAATCAACTGTCACCATAACAACCCCTTTTCCATCCAAAGCTTGTGTAACTGGCTCACATGTGTGTCACCAAAGGTTAACAGCGACCCCCACCCACTATTCAGCCCCAAGGTAACAACCCCAACCCTGAAAAGTGCATTGGACTGATTGGAGATCATTTTTTTCAGTTTTTTTTTTTGTTTTTTGCTTTTTTTGCCGTTTTATTTTTGGTCAAGGTCTGTGTGTGCCAAGTTTGGTGTTTGTTGGGGTCTTGGAGTTCACTGTTTTGGCCAGCCCTGAAAAATTCTGAAAATCCTGAAAACTGAAAAGACTCAAAAGAGTGAATTTTGCACGAAAACGCACTTTTGCCTTGGGGTTTAAGGCCCCTTTGATCATTTTTTTTGTTGTTGTTGTGTTTTTCTGTTGTTTTATTTGCTGTCCACTCTATGGATTGGTGACAAGTCTGGCGTAAAAGGTATGGGACGTTTGTTATAATGACCCTGAAAAAATCCTGAAAATTTAGGACTCTGTTAACCTCTTCTCATGTGTGTTGCGATTTTTGGTACTCCACAAAACACAAGTATGACTGTGCCACAAAACAACTGTCACCATAACAACCCCTTTTCCATCCAAATCCAAAGCTTGTGTAACTGGCTCTGGCATCATTCCACTGGATGTCGTCACAAAGAAGGTTCCATGATAAGGACTGTAAAGAGTGTGGTGCTGACGAGGAAACGCTGTCACACCTCTGGATGGCCTGCCGCAGCCAAGCAGCCTTCTGGGACTGGTGGAAGGGGATGTGGGTGTTGATGTCCCGCTGAAAAGAGGAAGGGGATGGGAAGACAGCCTCCTGGTGGGCATGGGGTTAGCAGGGACAGCAGCTTCTACCATTGAATAAGTTTACGCAGCTGACACAGTGAGGGTCACCTTCCTAAGTGTGGTGTGGGCAGCCAGGGCCAAAGTGCTGGCTGATTGCAGCAGGGGGATGTTGGCAATATCGCAGGCATGGATGATGAAGAACCTGCAGGTGGCAACCACAGCGGTGTGTGTGCACGTGGGCATGTACATGTGCGCTCCCATAATTATGTGTTCCCATCTGCACATTGAACCATCATCGTCTGTGGTGGAATGATCCTTAGACATTTTTGGGCCAAAAGCTGTCCTGTATTATTACATAAGGTCGACCAGCGGGTAGCCATCACCTCTCTCGACAAACTGCAGACATCCACATCAACTGTTGGGCACAGTGGATGGTGTGCATGCATGTAATCGACGATTCCTCCCTCGTACGATCACAGCATCGAGAGACAATTCCATATCTCATAAACTGGCACACCTGGACTGGCCTGCACGGCAAACCCTGTTTGCACATGTATGTGAGTATACTCAGTATGCAGTACTATGCACATGTATGTGAGTATACTCAGTATAGTAAATCATTCAATTATATTATGCAGTGACAGCCCTGCGTTCATAATGCTGGCCGCACGGCTCTTCGTCCCTCTAATGTACATGCAAATCAAACTCCTCGAGTGCAATGCACCATCTGTGGGGGAAGCTCGGATCTCCCCCACAGATCATCAAAAGGTGAGCACACAATCCAGGACAATATTGTGCATGAGCTCGCACTGTAGATCGTGTCCTTCTGTGCACCGAGTCCGCAGGCACATCTTATCAGGGAGCAAAACAGAAGGAAACGTATGTCAAGACGTAAGCTAGAAGTAAAGAGACACAGAGATGCAAGATTTGAAGCATACGACATTGATTGTAAAGGCCTGGGCACGGAACAGCACATAAGAGACTCGTTATTCCCAAAGCACTGCCAACTTGTGTCAAGGGATACATGAAGTCATCCAGAGGGAGTAGCAGCAGACATGGGCAAATGCCGTTGCCTCTCCGTGAAGCAACCAGACCAATCGTGGTGAAAAGGGAGGCCCAATCCGTAGTTGGGATGGTAAGTGCCCCAACCTGAAAACCAACTGATGTACAAGGCACAAAGAAAAGATGGAGCTGGGCAACACAGCACAAGGAGGGGTCTCTCAGAATCGTTCAGGAGACGCAACATTGCGATCACGACTGTGACCGCTGAAAGTTTATTTGATGAAAGCAACACTGGCAAAGAAGCTGTCATTTGACCAGATCTATATATAGAGAGAAGCAAACTGTAACCCAACAAGATGCATGGATAAATGATGCCCACCTGCCATTTGATGCAACTCGCCGAGACTTCACCAGAGCTTATGCCACCTCAGTGCACTTCAGCCCTGGCCACTGCACCAAGCGAACTACAACGCCAACCTTCTTCATCCCCCTCCCCTACCCTCATCTGACGCTGCAAAGACTTCTCTTGAGAGAAACTCAGCACTGACATCCGCTCTTAGAGAAAAGAAAGGGCACTTTAAGATGACAATCCAGTTCTGCACAAAAACCCTGACAACCGCTTGGCAGTACACCTCATGCTTCAGCAGCAGCAGCAGAAGCAGCAGAAAGCACCTGCAGATGTCACTCATCACTTGTGGGACAGCATGGGAACCCCGCAGTGATGTTTTCAGCACGCAGTTCCCTTTTGTGTTTGTTGTGTGTGTGACTCTGAAAACTCGGCTGATCCTCCAAAAAACTTGACTTCTCCATTTACGGTCCATGCATCAAGTGTCAAGGAGTATTGTCTTCCACAACGCAGACTCTGAAAAAGTCCTGTAATCCATCAAGTGTCAAGGAGTATTGTCTTCCACAACGCAGACTCTGAAAAAGTCCTGTAATCCAACTTAGAGGAAGATCATGGCACATTATCGCTTTTCTCACACCTGACTGCTGACAGTGCTGAGTTACTATCCAAATGCATCATCTACCTACCTGAGGCAGTTCGCAAATCCCCATTCCCACTCCCGGAAGGCGTTCAGATTGCTCCCCTCTCAATACCTAGCTACAAATCTTTCACAAACTTCTGCCCCACCTCATCTCCACCAAACTCTGGATTGCTCTCAGAATGGTTCTGGAAGCCGCACTATGCCCACCGAGCACCTGATGTCATAACATCCCTGACCTGCTGGCACAGGCACTTGGGTTCATTGCCATGAACCTCCCTAATCAGGAAGAGAGGTGGCACCACTTTGCATGAAGAGGACTGCTGTTTCATTTGAGGCCGATACAGAACCCGGGAAGTATGTTTGCTCCCTCAGCCGATGAATGCTGACACACAATCAGGAAGAATGTTTGCTCCCTCAGCCGATGAATGCTGACACACAATCAGGAAGAATGATTGCTCCCTCAGCCGATGAATGCTGACACACAATCAGGAAGAGAGGAGGCACCACTTTGCATGAAGAGGGCTTCTGTTTCATTCGAGGCCGATACAGAACCCGGGAAGTATGATTGCTCCCTCAGCCGATGAATGCTGACACACAAGCTGTCAGGTATTGATTGAAGTCTAAACAGATGATGGTTCGGCACCAGTTCCACACCTGGTGTAAGTCACTTCCGAGCCTGTGTGCACCAGGGCGGGAGATGGGCAGCCCCGCCAGAAGACCCGAGCGGAACAGACCCAGTGGGCACAGGAATTGTAGTTGGGAAAACATACCTGGGCATGGGGGAAGCAGACGGCATAGCAGCTGGCGAAATGTGACCCAGAATTGGCGGGCTTCTTGCTGGAGGAGTCAAAGACAGGAGAGCAGAGGACTGGTAAGAACTGGGGTAGTAAGGCTGATTGGAATGACCAGAGTGATGAGAAGGTATAGATATAGAACTCGAGGCAGGAAAGGGTGCAAAGGAGCCGGGGGCACAAGGTGCATCAAGCCCAGGAAGTGCGCAAGGGTGACTGGAAGATCGGGGGGGGGAGAGAGAACCTGTTCTGATCACACCAGCAGGATTCTTCGAGGGTACAGAACCCACAGTTATGTTGGGTATCTGTGCAACACCGAGTGCTGACAGCGGACGATTTGAAAGTGGTGCATTCCTCAGCTCCAGCAAGAACTTCTGAGAGTAGCAAATCCTCTCATCTGCCCACAAACAACCAAGATCACGTAGAACACACACATCAGTACGGGATATGTACATTGGCATGGGACACTACCCTTCGGACAGACTGTGTGTTTGTAACATATATATACCAAAAAATTAAAAATAGTAAAAATACAAAATTAAGAAATAGCGACCGACATGGATTTAAAAATTTTAAATCTATACCTTATGAGTTGGTAATAGCTTGGTACAGACTTCCTTGCAATCGCCCTTCCGCTTGATACTGACCTGCCCAGCCTACAGCCAGAGGATTGTAATTATACCAGGGAACCAGATGACCTGTTGCGGCTTCGCTCGCAAAGCATTAACGGTGGAGGCAACTGACCAATGCAAACTCTCTCTCTCTCTCTCGTACATATCTCACCAAAAAAAAATAAAAGTAGAGAGAAAAAACGGAGAAAAAGATCGGGCCACATAGCGCACCTTTAGCCCTCCCCCCATCCACCTCCCCCATCTCTCTCTCTCTCTCACACACACACACACACACACACACACACACACACACACACACACACACACACACACACACACACA